CTACTGGCGCAGATTCAGCGTCGGCGAGCGTCGATTCAGCGTCGACAGGCTTCGATCCGGCAGAGCCGACAAGCTGGTGCGGGAGGCTCGCACGAGCTGCCACCGAGCGGGGAGTAGCGGTATCGGTACCTCCTGCCACTCCCAGACTTCCGGCGATATGAGCATTTTCCCCCGACCTCGGCCTGCAGGGCCCGGTACCGGGGCCCCCGGGGCCACCAAGCATACGCAACGTTAGACCCCCGAGCACGGAGCTAGCCCCTTGGGGAGGGGGACGGGAGAGCTGGGGCCGCGTGTCTTGCTGTTGTTTGTGTTGTGTTGTCGTTTGTGTTTGTTGTTTGTGTTTGTTTGCCTCCCCCTAGTATGAATGAAAAAGACAAATGTTGGACGATGTCTGGGAACGTCTTCCTCTCCGGATCTGGATCGAGGATGGAAGCTTCTGAGCCATCCTCAGGGCAACAAGCAAGAACACAAACACATAAACTCGGGGGTCCGCGCGGATTCCTCGGACCGGCGCTGGGGTCCCCTGGCGGCGCCTCCGGCGCCGCCCCCGGCGCGCTCCGCGCGCCAGGGAGGGGGGGGGATTGTTCCAGCGCCGATCCGAGAAATCCGCGCGGAGCTCCGAGTTTTTCTATTTCTGCCACGGCTTGCTCCCCCTGCCGATTTCATCGAGGGCCTGCGGGTGCCTCGTCGGCAGCAGATCGTGGGAGCCCTCTATACCCTCTCAAAATCCGTCGTCAGCGTCGAGTTAGCGTCTGGGAGTCGATGAGATGGCGTTGATGCGGCGTCGATCTAGCGTCGAGGAGCGTCGATCTAGCGTTCAGCAGCGTCGATCCGCAGGAGCCAGCAAGATGGCACGGGAGAGGCTCCCACGAGTTGCCACCGAAGGCCTCCGTGCGACGAGGAGACGGCCGGAGACCTCGGAGTCTGGGGGGCCCCACTTGGCCTCCGCAGCCTTCCGTCCCGGACCCATGTTTGCCAGCCTGGCGGCCCGATCATGTCAGCTCGTGATTGATAAATGAGGGCCCCCCCCCTGGCTCACGCCACTCTCCCCCCCTCTCCCATTCTGCGCTGTTTCTGTCGCCTTCTCGCTGGCGGCCGGGCGTCGGCGCTTATCACATGAGGGGGTTCCCCCAACGATGATCACCCCGATGCGGCGGCGACGGGTCCGTCGGGGACAGATGCGCAAAAACGATCTGTCCGCCGCACGGAACTATTGAGAAGTTATTGTAAAAATTTGTGCGATGTGCGATGGGCGCGCCGTGGACAGTGAAGTTCAACCATGTGTGGCGCGCAATTTTTTCGGTGCGACGGCGACGGCGGGTGGCCAGACAGATGCACAGTACGTAACCAAGCACGTTCGCCGACGGTGCGACAGCGACCGGCGAGGCCGCGACAGATAGACAGTTCGTTTGTTTCCGGAGAACTCCTAAGATAGATTGTGGGAAGGATGGGGAAGCCATTCTGCTTCACCCTTGGTGCCTTTGCAGGGCCGCTTGGGGCCGTTTCGCCTGAGACGTCGTCGCAACATGGAGACGTCGGCCCGAGAAAAGCCAACGTGGCCTTCACCATGCACACACATCTCTGCAGCGCACGCAATGGCCAAAACACAATATAAAAATCCCACCAGCCCTTTGGGCGTGAGTGGTTTAAAGAGCCCTCTCTGTCCTCAACCCCCTTCTTCCCCTTGGGGGAGGGGTTTACCCCTCCCCCTACCCCCTCCCCCTGGGCCTGGAAGGGGCGTTTCGCGGGTCGTTGGGTCACCGAAGATGGCCTAAGATGGCGCCAAGAGGGCCCAAGAGAGCTCAAGGTGACCTCCAAGATCGCTCAAGATAGCCCTCGATGACTCAATATAGCTCCCAACATGCGTACAAGACGCTCCAAGACCGCCCCAAGACGGCTCCACGTGGTCACGGGGCTCCCGATGCATCGTGTAATTGTTTTATACCATCGGAGGCCATGTTAAGTTCAAAACTCAATGGTCAAAACCCAATGTAAATATTCACTATCTGGGCCCAAGAGGCCGCCACATAAGCGTGGAATATATACAAACCAATACAATATGCGAAGCGCGCGCGCGCTGGTGACCCGCGCGGGGCCGGGTCACCCGCGCGCGCGATGCATCCTGTATTGGTTGTATTCCATCGGAGGCCATGTTAAGGTGAAAACTCAATTGTCGAAACCCAATGTAAAAATTCATTCTCTGGGCCCAAGAGGCGGCCATATAAATGTGGAAATATACAAACCAATACAATATGCGAAGCGCGCGGGCGCGCTGGTGACCCGCGCGGTGCCGGGTCACCCGCGCGCGCGCGCGATGCCTCCTGTATTGGTTTTATACAATCGGAGGCCATGTTAAGTTGAAAACTCAATGATCAAAACCCAATGTAAATATTCATTCTCTGGGCCCAAGAGGCGGCCATGCCAACGTCAAATATAGAAAACACAATACAATATGCGAGGCGCGCGGGCGCGCTGGTGACCCGCGCGGTGCCGGGTCACCCGCGCGCGTGCGCGATGCCTCCTGTATTGGTTTTATACAATCGGAGGCCATGTTAAGTTGAAAACTCAATGATCAAAACCCAATGTAAATATTCATTCTCTGGGCCCAAGAGGCGGCCATGCCCACGTCAAATATAGAAAACACAATACAATGGGCGAGGCGAGCGCGGGCGCGCTGGTGACCCGCGCGGGGCCGGGTCATCCGCGCGCGCGCGCGATGCATCCTGTATTGGTTTTATACAATCGGAGGCCATGTTAAGGTGAAAACTCAATTGTCCAAACCCAATGTAAAAATTCATTCTCTGGGCCCAAGAGGCGGCCATATAAATGTGGGAAATATACAAACCAATACAATATGCGAAGCGCGCGGGCGCGCTGGTGACCCGCGCGGTGCCGGGTCACCCGCGCGCGCGCGCGATGCCTCCTGTATTGGTTTTATACAATCGGAGGCCATGTTAAGTTGAAAACTCAATGATCAAAACCCAATGTAAATATTCATTCTCTGGGCCCAAGAGGCGGCCATGCCAACGTCAAATATAGAAAACACAATACAATATGCGAGGCGCGCGGGCGCGCTGGTGACCCGCGCGGTGCCGGGTCACCCGCACGCGCGCGCGATGCCTCCTGTATTGGTTTTATACAATCGGAGGCCATGTTAAGTTGAAAACTCAATGATCAAAACCCAATGTAAATATTCATTCTCTGGGCCCAAGAGGCGGCCATGCCAACGTCAAATATAGAAAACACAATACAATATGCGAGGCGAGCGCGGGCGCGCTGGTGACCCGCGCGGGGCCGGGTCACCCGCGCGCGCGCGCGATGCATCCTGTATTGGTTTTAGACAATCGGAGGCCATGTTAAGTTGAAAACTCAATGATCAAACCCCAATGTAAATATTCACTCTCGAGGCCCAAGAGGCGGCCATGTAAACCTTGGCAGGTCTTAGCAGCATTTCCATTCCCCTCCGTTTGGGTAACTGGAAGAAATGGGCCGCCACCAATGGATAGACGCCCCCCGCCAGTCAAGCCGCGCCGAGGGTGCGACGGCGCCCGGGGGATGGGCAGATAGACGGACAGAAGATGCGCAGACGTATCGGTGCGACGGCGCCTGGGGGGATAGATGTAGATACATGGATACGCCGCGCCAGCCAAGCAAAGCCGACGGTGCGGCGGCGAACGCTTTTTGAATATTGACCAGAACGGAGATCAATACAGGGGGAACCCCCTTATCTTATCACGGGCACCGCCGCCCTTGTGTTTCACTTTGGCGGGCTCCACCCCCGCGACCCGCCCGAGCAGGGAACCTTCATGTAAAAAAACACGCGCCCCAACAGATTTGCGAGTCACAAAGCTGACATCGGCGGGCCCCAGAGGAAGACATCGAGACATTGCGCCTGGACGGAACACGACACACATCGTCGGTGGGGGTATTTGCCCTCTGCGGTCGTAGATCAGCGCGCTCCCCCCCTCTTGTGGTCGGTGGTGTCGCCGAATGCACACCGGCGCGCAGAGCCGATCGGACCCGGTGCAGCCTCGAAGGCCCCGGCCGACGACCGTTCTTGCGCGGATCTCCGCCGCGGGGTGGACCTGCTGCTCCTCTCCCTGCCATTGCTCCTCCTCCCCCTTCAACCCCTCCTCTTCCCTCCTCCGCCCTCCTCTTCCCTCCTCGCCCTCGTCCCCCTCTTGCCTCCTGTCCCCCCTCTCCCTCCTGCTCCCCCCGTCCCTCCATCCCTCCTCTCTCTCTTTGCCCTCCACGCAACACTGGTCCCCCGAGCGCGTCCTGACCAGGATTTGAGGGCGAGCCCGGCCGTAGCAACGCCGCCCCCGCCCCCCCTCCCCCCACGGATGCCCACCAAGGGGCAAGACGTCTGGAACCCCTCGTCCCCTCACCGTTCCTCCCTCCGCTGCCGGCGACGGCGGCCCCAGGAGTGCCGCAGCGAGCAGTCGCCCTCGATCCCAGTGAGCCCGGCGAGGGCCCCGAAGCCGCCCAAGCCCGTCAGCAGGTTCAGGACCTACGACATCCGAGGGCTCTCTCCGCGGGTGCACCCCTGGGTGCCGGACGACAGTCACGGCGGCCGCCCTCGCCGCAAAGAGGAGAAGGAGGTGGCGGAGGAGGAGGTGGAGGAGGAGGCGAACGACGACGACGACTACGACAGAGGGGGAGGAGAAGGATGATGAGGAGGAGGCGAACGACGAAGACGATGGAGGGGGGTGATAATGAGGAGGAGGAAAAGGAGGGTGATGATGTGATGGTGATGATGGTGATGATGGTGATGATGATGATGCTGATGATGATGGTGATGATGTTGTTGATGATGATGACGACAATGATGATTATGATGACGGAGATGGTGATGGTGGTGGTGATGGTCATAGTGATGATGATGGTGCCGATGCTGGTGCTGATGCTGATGTTGAGGATGGGGATGGGGATGAGGATGAGGATGACGATAAGGATGATGGTGGTGACGATGAGGATGGCCATGATGGCCATGATAATCATGGTGATCATGGTGGTGGCGATGTTAATGATGAGGAGGAGGAGGATACTGATGATGATGCTGATGATGATGATACTGATGACGAGGATGATGATGATGGTTATGTTGATGCGGATGGGGATGATGATGATGAGTATGATGATGGTGATGATGATGCTGATGAGGATGAGGCTGGTGGTGGTGGTGGTGATGGACGATGATGATGCATCTGATGATGATGTTGATGATGATGCCGATGCTTGTGCTGATGCTGCTGATGACGATGCTGGTCATGGTCATGGTCATGGTCATGATGATGGTGATCGTGAGGAGGAGGAGGAGGAGGAGGAGGAGGAGGAGGAGATGGAGGAGGAGTTGGACGAGGAGGATGAGGATGGGGACGATGGATGAGGAGGACGATGGAGCCCGGCAGAAGTGTGAGGAGCGGGAGGAGGGAGGAGGGCGAGGAGGAGGACGGAGGAGGAGGAGGAGAAGGACTAGGAGAAGGAGGAGGAGAAGGAGAAGGAGGAGGAGGAGGAGGAGGAGGCAGATAATGATGAGGCGAGGAAGGAGCGGAGACGAGTGTAGCGGAGCGGAGCACGCTGAGTCCGCCGGCCGGCCGGCCAGCGGGCAGCCTCTTGGGAGCAGCGCGTGCGGGTTGGGGCCCTCTCATGATGTAGTCCTTGAGAAAACCAAAGGAGGTCTTTAATGTTAAGGCCCACCCCTCTGAGCTCTCGGCTGGGACTAAAACTCGTCCTCCCCCTCCTCGTCCTTCCCCTCATCGTGCTCCCCCTCGTCCTCCCACGCAGTGGGCGTCTCCAGCTCGGCCTGTGCGCACAAGGAAAATAAGGAGGAGGAGGAGGAGGAGGAGGAGGAGGAGGGGAGGAGGAGGCGGAGAAAGAGGAGGAGGAGGAGGAGAAGGAGAAGGGGCGAGTCCAGTGACGCTTGAACCGGTAGAACGCTAAGCTTGCTCGGCAATCACGGGAGAATAAAGCTGCCGCGCGTGAATCAGCAGGTCCCTGGTCGACGAGACTTGTGTAGAAATGCTTCACCAGAAACCCACTCTTGCCGTCGAACGGGCGTTTCGGCATCAGCAGGACACAACTCGGACAAGCGTGGCAATATGTGCAGTAAGTTTTACTGGCGCTGTCATGTGCTCGTGGATACGCTTTTGCATTCGCCACACGATTGCCACACACACATCACATGCATTATCATTACCCTAACAAGTCCGCCAAGACTGGTAGCTTGTTGATGCTATGGTGACCTCGTGGGCACTTGAGAGACCCCCCCAAATCTGGTTGAACTATTTGTATTATCCATCTGCTGTCCTCTCCATTCCAGAAGCCTGAGCACGGGCCATTTCAAACACCCACGTTACTCTGAATGTTGGTTGTTTTCTCCTGTTGGTGTTCCCTAAGCTGCGGCTCCACCGGCTGCCATACCCCAGTCTGCGGAATATCGTGCACATGGTACTTATTGAAATCATCATTCGATTGGGCATCACTCCCTTGAAGCGTCGATGGAAAGTTAGCTAAATGATTCAACGTGTATTGAACTGAAGCCACGTGCTGCTCCAATCGATCCAACGTTGAGGATAAGCCTGAATAGTGAACTGCTGATCGAACTACGGGGGCATCATGGAACATGTTGACTTACGGTGGGAAAGAAGTCGATCTGCTGCTTCAGCTCCTCCGAATTGCATGTGTGTCGATATAATTTTTCTGGATTGCGATCTCGATCTGTTGCCACTGAACCCTGATTCGCACAGTCTCCAGTACTTGCCGGCGTCACGAGCAAGGTCCGCTTCCATAGAGTTCTGCATGAACAGTACTGGTAAGCTGTCCTGAATCAGGCTTCCTTGAGGCGATGAAGGAGGAGAAGAAGCAGGATGGCGGCGGAGGAGAAAGGGGATGGCGACGACGACGAGGAGAAGGACGACCACGATGTGGAAGCAGATGGAGGATGAGGAGGAGCAGCATCAGCAGACGTAGGAGGAGGGCGTCGAAGATGAGTGGGAGGGCCTCCCTTCTTCTCCTGCTCCTCCTCCTCCTCCTCCTCTTCCTCCTCCTCCTCCTCCTCAGTCGTTCGTTGTGGAACGGGTGAGATGCACGGGATGGGGGTGATGATTCAGGCAGTCCCTGCTGGCCCGTCCGTACTCGCAGTGCGGGTTCGCTGTCGCCTTGGCTTCCGCACTCTGCCCAGCTTGCTCTGGGCCTGTCTGCGGGGTAGAGGCGCGTTCCTCGCTGGAGTCCGAAGCAAACCAGATCTTCTCATCCTCGTTTGCCTGTCCTCCCCCCGCGTTCACCCCCCCTGGGTACTGCGCGAGAGCCGCAGCAGCCTCCCTCGCCAGCAGTAGGGTGGTGACCCCAGGGGATCGTGCGCAGGAAGCTCGGCGCAGATTCTCGGCCGACCTTCAGGAGGGAACGAAACGCAGACACAAACAATCGTCGGCTCCCAAGAAAATAAGGGAAACTATGGCCAATGGGGGGAAGACGAGCATCGAGAACATATCTGTCGATATATAAGAAAATATGAGAAATCCTGGGATGTGTGTGTATGCGTGCGTGTGTGTGTGTGTGTTTGTATGCGTGCGTGCGTGCGTGCGTGTGTGCGTGTGGTGTGTGTGTGTGTGTGTGTTTGTGTGTGCGTGTGTGTGCGTGCGTGCGTGCGTGCGTGCGTGCGTGCGTGCGTGCGTACCCGTGTGTGTGTGTGTGTGCGTGTGTGTGTGTGTATGTGTGTGTGCGGGTATGTCTGTGTGTGCGTGTATGTGCGTGTGTGTGTGTGTGTGCGTGTGTGCGTGCGTTTGTGCTTTGTGTCCCTGGGCCCCTTTAAAACTGGAGGCGGCCTCGGGGTCCCCTGCCGAGGATGCGCAGGTATGAACAAGGGCGCGTGGACTATCGGCGACGGGCTCCGCTGCCGTGCAGCATTATGGCGCGTCTGGCGCCCAATCAGCCATCATTGTGATTGGGGGGTACTTTCCCCGATCCACGGATCCGGAGCCCACGCGCAGGGTACACCCATCAGAAGTCCTAGGAAAGAGCATCAAGGTTCGTGGTCTCGGATTCCGCTCAAAAAGGTGAAGAATCAATACTTGACCCTGGGCGTTTTCTTGGGGTTTCTTTTTGTCCGTCGAACTTCCGTAGATTTGGACCTGGACTATTGTCTGAGAAAACGCGTGCAGTGGAGTCCATTGCCTTAGCGTAGCTCTTTGCTATATGCAGGCGTGCACGCGGATCCCTGATCCATGTTGGCCTGTGCCCGACCCTGGGAGGCCGTCGGGAGCACTGCCGAGCAAAGACCGGAAGCTGGTCTTTGAGAGCTGGGGTCCGCCAGGTAGGCCCAGGACAGAGGCAAGCCGCTCCGAGAGCGCTCCGGAGCGCTCGTGGAGCGCTCCGTGGCGCCCGGTGCATCCTCCAGGCCCGCCAGAGTTCAGAGATTACCGCTGTAGCTCGCTCCGATGTGCCTTATGTCCTGTCTCCGTCTCAGCCGTGGGGTTCGCGGTGCCCCGCGGACTGGAGCGTGCGGGCGGGAGGAGCGAGAGGAGAAGAGCAGCAAGCCAGGCGGCTACCTGGCGCGCTGGTTCGTCCTCTTTACGAGCCCGTCGCAGTCCATCCTCGGGAGGGTCGTGGAGGCCGCTCTTGTTTCCACCATCGCGCTGAACACCGTGGCGCTGCTTCTGGAGTCCATGCCGGAGTACCGAGACCGTCCAGAGCGGTGCCACGGGGGGGGTCGGGCAGAGCCGCCCGAGGCCTCGCGTGTCCTCCGGGCCAGAATGGGAGGCTCGCCTGCTCTTATGTCGGGCGTGTCCCCCTACAGGGGGATCTTCGACGATGGGTAAAAATACACCAAAAATACCCCAGAAAGGCCAAACAAATATTCAAAAAATAGTCCCCAGACTATTTTTGGATTATTGTGTTGATTAGTTTGGGGGTATTTTATTATTGTTCGTCGAAAATCCCCCTGTAGGGGGACAGGCCCGACTTCAGCCTGCTCCAGTGGACCCTGGGGATAGGGGGGCATGTGGTCCGCGGGTATACTTGCAGCCCTGTCCAGGGATGGGTGCCTGTAGTCGGGAGGGACGCACCCGCAGTTCGGGGTGCGACACGCGAACGTCAGGGTTCGCCTCGTTTCGCCCGCGGGGACGTGCTCATTAGGCTTCAGACCCTGGAGGATGCCTTATGAAGGGACGGAGGTGATATCCATGGTCAACCAACAATTGGAGCTCCACTGGCTTCCAGGCCGTGCAGTCCTGATCCAAGGGATCCTTGTCCACTGCCCTCAGCGTGCTGAGGGGCTCAATTCATCGCAGGCTGATGTCACCGCCACCTGGGCGACGCAAGAAAGCACGGAGCCGACTGCGCGGGCATTCGCGCGTCAGCCGCATCCCTTTCAGGCACGGTGGGTTCGTGTCATGCCGACGCGGCCGCGACCCCGAAGAGGGCGGACAGGGTTGAATGCCGCCAGTGGCCCAGAACCGGCCAAGATGGAGCGGTCCATCGAAAGCAAGACCGCGGATCGTTCAAGGGTCAACGATCAACGCGTCGTCAGCAGCCCACGCCGAAGTCGTTACGACACGGGCTTACCGCAAGGCAGCACGTGAGCGCCCCCCTCTTCCACGCGGTGCCGCGTCAGCGGCCTGTGTATGCGGTCCGGAATTTTGGCTTAGCGTGTCGCTCCGCCAGTTCTGACCACGCTGCGCTTCGGCGCGACACGCTAATCACGTCCCCCATCCCAAGCGTCAACGTCCTGAGCCTTTCCGAGCCCCACGCTCCGCTCCGCGGAGCGACACGCTATCCGCTTGCAGGGCATAGCGTGTCGCCGGAGCTGCCGCCGCGACGCGCTAAGCAAAAGTTCCCGACGGTAAGCCTTCGCACAGGGCCTGTGCGCCGTCATGCGCGGGTCTTCTTTTATTGTCTTCTGTTATTCCCTCGCCGCTCCCTTGGGCTGACTCGGAGGGACACGCGAGGCAGGCGCCTGTCCGAGGTTGCACCCCGGCGGCGCTGCGCTGGGGGATGGTCCCAGGAGGGGACACATCGTTCCCCACTCGCCAATTGATCGCCGACGCGAGCCCGATCGCCCACCCCGCCCCGGGCCGAGGGTCTGTCGCCGATCTGTCGGTGATGTGTCGCCGATTCCAGCTCAATGACTTTTCGCCCTGGGCTGGCCCCCCCGAGCTGGCCCCCCCGAGCGTTCCCCGTCATTGAAATCCTACGGGCCGCCAGTTGGCCAACCTTCACTCGTATGCTCCACCTGGGCGGCGTGCCCAGAGGCTGGATGATGTGCGCACGACGAGGCTGGCAGCAGACGAGGGCTGCGACTCCCACAGGTCTCAGCCTCCTGGGCGACGCTGACTCCAGTTGGAGCAAGTCCAGTTGGAGCCAGAAAAAAGAAAAATTATCGCAGTGCGACCCTACCTAGGAATTGGAACCCCTAGGAAAGCAGCATTAGTAGTAACAGTAACGCTAGGCTAAAGCTGAGCTAAAGCTAAGCCACAGCTAAGCTAAAGTCAAGCTAAAGCTAAGCTAAAGCTAAGCTAAAGCTAAGCTAAAGCTGAGCAACAGCTAAGCGAAAGCTAAGCTACAGCTAAGCTACAGCTAAGCTAAAGCTAAGCTAAAGCTAAATCTAAGCTAAAGCTAAGCTAAAGCTAAGCTACAGCTAAGCTCAAGCTAAGCTAAAGCTAAGCTAAACGCTAAGCGAACAGCTATGCGAAACGCTAAGCTAAAGCTAAGCTAAAGCTAAGCTAAAGCTAAGCTAAAGCTAAGCTAAAGCTAAGCTAAAGCTAAAGCTAAAGCTAAAGCTAAAGCTCCCAGGGGACTGGGGGGAACCGCTCCCAGGGGACTGGGGGAACCGCCCGGGGCGCTTTGCACTGCCCGGCCCCTTTTAAGCTAAGAGAGTAAGAACCCTTCTAGGCAGAGCCTAGGTAGGGAACAAGTATAATAGTAGTAAGCACAAGAATCAGAGTGGTAATGATAAGCATGCCGATAATATGACGAATGGTGAGAATCGTAATGCTATTAGTAGTAATAAGAATCAGGAAACAAGTCAATACTACCAATAATGATAATCATGATGGCGATGATGGTACTAAAATTGGTATATCAATGAAGCAACACTACGAACCATAAAGCACCACACATGCTCCAACTGGACTTCGCCTCTCGCGAGCCTGGGCGGCGTGCCTGGAGGCCGGATGTGCGCATAGCGACGCCAGCCCGTGGGCGAGGGCCGCGTGATCGCGCGGCCGCGCGCTTCTCCTCTCCAGCGCGCGCCTGGCCGCTCGTGCCTGGGCGGTTGCGCGAAGGCCCTGCGCGCTGGCATCCGGGCGGGGGACCTCCGCGTGCTCCAGAGGCAGCTGCCGACAGCGACTCCGGCCTCTTGGCCCAAAAGGAGGTCCCAGCGAGCAAAAGGGTGGTGCAATAGCTTTGGTGCACTAGGTTTGGTGCAATAGATTCGTGGGGCTGTAATAGATCTGGGCCGTGCAATACATTCGGGTGCGCGGGTGTATTGCCGGGCTTCCGCGTGCAACGCACCAGCTGCAATGCCATGCAACACCATGGCAATACATTTGCAATGCAGTTGCCCCAAATCTATCGCTCCACTACCCGTCAGGTGGACACCCTTTTGGGTCAGCATAAGAAGAGCAGGGTCGGCCTTGGGCTCCTGGCGCCTCAGCTTTTGGGTGGAGCCGCGCCGCCGCCCCGCGCTCGCTGCCAGGGGCTGCCCTGCGGCTCGGCCGCCCCGCGCGCCCCCCCCGCGGCCTCGCCGGCGTGCGTGCGCCCTCTTTTCCCTCCTCCTGCCTCTGCAGCCGCTCTTCGTCCTCCTCCTCCACGTCCTCCTTGTCCTCCTCGTCCTCCTCGCCCTCCTCCTCCTCGTCCTCCTTGTCCTCCTCGTCCTCCTCGTCCTCCTCCTCCTCCTCCTCCTCCTCCTCGTCCTCCCCCATTGCCTTCCTCCTCCTCCCCTTCCTCCTCCTCCCCCTCCTTCTCCTCCTTCTCTCCCCCTTGCTCTTCCCCCTCCTCCCCCTCCTTCTCCTCCTCGTCGTCGTCCTCCTCCTCTCGCATGCGGGACAGCTCGCGACACCGCAGCCCGGTTTGCCGGGGCGCGCGCGCAGACTGCCCCTGCCGCGCTGCGACGTAAAAGCGTCGCCTGTCTCCAGGCACACGTGGGAGGCTCACGGATCGATCCGGCTCGAGAAGTTGCGCAGAACGATCGGGTCCGGGGCTCTGGTCGTGATTTTTCACGGCGCTGCAGTTTGTTAGCTGCGTCTCGCAGGCGACTCCTCCCCCCCCCAACTCCCGATGCTTCGACGAAAAATGAGGCCGCTGAGAGGAGGAGGGGGGCCCTGGGATGCACCCAAGAAAAGGGGCCATTCGGACGCAACCTTATCGTATATCCCAGGGTTGGACCCTAACGTGTTGGCCCATCCGAAAACCTCACGAAGCCTGGGATAGGGGTCGACCTGTCCCCTGCGAGCGTCGGGTCTCAGGAGACTGCGCGGGGACTCGAGCGCACAGCCCAGACGCCAAGACAGGGTCCACCCTCGGGGTGCGCGAAGGGCTCTGGCTCTTGGGGCCGCTCCTGCGATCTAGGGCTTACGTCGGGCATGTCTCTCCTCATGGGGGCATGTGCAAGAATGCTTTTCCTTGTAAAGAAATGTGGTGACGACTTGTCGTTTTTTTTGACGGGTTCTGTTGGTTTTGTTTGGCTGTTTCGATGTTTCTTCTAGAATCCGCCCGTAGGAGGACAGGCCCGGCCTGAATCTGTGCCGGGGCGCCTGTCGGTGGCCAGGGCTCGCCGTGGCCACGGCGCGCCTCCCCGCTCCTTCGCGCCCGGAGGGCGCCCCCGGTGGCACGAGGGCTGCGTGAGCGTTCCGCGCGGAGCCGTGCACGAGCGCCGCCTCTCCGGCGGCGAACGAGGGGGGGCCGTGAGAACTAGAAGGCCTTCTGTCGCGGGCGGCAAAGAGGGGGTGATGACTTAGGGGGGGATATCATGGCGTGGGCCATGATGGTTCCTCAACTTTCATGGCGCCTCTGCTTATTCCATTACGGCCCTGGCCCCCCCCCCGTGAGCCGCGCACGTGCCGCTGGCCATGATTTGTGCCCCCCCCTCTTGGACGCCCCCCTCTTGGCCGCCCCCGATCCTCAGGAGGCGGCGGGACTTCTCGGAAGCCCTCGCGCCTTCTGGGCGGCTTCTGCTTGTCTTCGCGGGGAAGGCTCAGAGAGAACTTGCCGGGAGGCTGGGAGGCTTCCGAGCCATCCGAGAAGGCCCTCTCCTTCTCACCTTCCCCCCCTCCGCTCGCCGCCGGCTCCCGCCCGCCCCGCCTCGCCGCGCGGGCGCTCTGCCCATGGCCACCCGCGCAGGGTACCGCCGGGCCCTCGCGCTCCGGGCCCCCCCTTCGCCCCGAGCATCCCAGGAGCGCGATCGAGGGGCGGACGCGGGTATTCTGCGTGCGAGCATTCGGGCCTTTTTCCGCCTGCAGGCTCTCCCCCCCCGCCGTAGGGTGCCTGGCTAAACGTGGCCGACAGAGCGTGGAGCTCAGACAACAAATATGATCCCACGTTGGTTTCGAGAGTGCGAGTGCGTTGCGCGAGCGTTCGCATCACGAGGCTGGTCTCACGGAGCGGGGGGCTGTGCAGTCGGGGCGCCGAAGAAGGATCTTTTTTCCTTTGTGAGGAGCTCAGTGCTCCTGTTTTGTTTTGCGGTTCGCCTCAGGTTTTCTCTCAGGTCCCCGATGGATAATCGAAGTTGAACTTATAGAAAGAAGGGCCTCGTTCCTTACTCAGGGTTCCTTAGGTCATCGCCCCGGTCGTGCTCATGAAATTAAGTTGTTGGACGCGTGCGTCCTTTTGTGGGGGTTCCCTCTCGCCCCCTCCGCCTGGGAAGGCTGGCCTGTCTAGTAGTGGAGCGGCCCGGGCCAGTGCGGAGTTGCTATAAGCAGGTGCCCCTCGCCGAGACCTGTCGGCGATGTGTCGCCGGTTCCAGGAGGACCAAGAGAGGACCAGGAGGTGGAGGCAGCGGGTAGGTGCGAGGATCCATGATGATGACGAGACTCGCCCCAAGCAGCCCAGAGTTTCGGGGCGCCCCGGATTGTGAACAGCACCTCTTGCAGATGTTGATGGTTTCCCCCCCCTGGGCCAGTTTCCCCTGTAGCGTTCCCCCTCTCAGGTTGGGCTCGCCCTCCCTTGAACAAAGGGAAGGTGCTGTCCGGGAGTACATGTTTTTCGCCCGGGTTGGTTTTCGCCCAGTTCGTTTCGCCCGGTTCGTTTCGCCCGGGCTTGCTTTCGCCCAGGTTGGCTTTCGCCTGGTTGGCTTTCGCCCGGGTTGGTTTTCGCCCAGGTTGGCTTTCACCCGAGTTGGCTTTCGCCCTGGTTGGCTCTCGCCCGGGTTGGTTGTCGCCCGGGTTGGCTTTCGCCCGGGTTGGCTTTCGCCCGGTAATGTGTTTCGCCCAGGTTGGCGTGGTGTTTCGCCCGGGATGGTTTTCGTTTGGGTTCGTTTTCGCCTTGCTCTTCCTCCTCCTCATCCTCCTCCCGCCCCTGTCCTTTTTTATGCTGCTGCTGCTGCTGCTGCTGCTGCTCCTTGTCCTCCTTTCCTCCTCTTGCACCTCTTGCCCGCGGCCGGTTGGCTGGAGCTCCGCTGCGTCCCCGCAGCAGCACTGGAAGTACAACCCCCGGCCTTCTTCCCAGACTGCCTGCCCTACACATGCACACCGCCCTTGCTCAGGCCCCCCTGAGGCCCAGGGTCAGTCAGTGCTACGTGCACCCCTGGCAAAGCCATGCGCGTGTTCCCTCGAGCGCGGCTCACATTTTAGGGCCACGCCTGCCAGACCCGACCTCTTGTCAGGATCCGCCCGACCCGAACCGATCCGTCCCGCCCGTTCGGGTCCGCCCGCCAAACCCGACCCGCCCGTTAGGGTTCACGCGTGTTCGCTCCAGCGCGCCCCACATTTTAGTGCCCCGCCCGCCCGACCCGACCCGCCCGTTAGGGTCCGCCCGACCCGACGCGACCCGACCCGTCCCGCCCGTGAGGGTCCGCCCGCCCGACCCGACCCGCCCGTTAGGGTTCACGCGTGCTCACTCGAGCGCGCCCCACACTTTCGTGTCCCGCCTGCCCGACCCGACCCGCCCACCATTAGGGTCTGCCCGACCCGACCCGACCCGTCCAGCCCGTTAGGGTCCGCCTGCTGCCCGACCCGTCCCGCCCGTTAGGGTTTACGCGTGCTCGCTCGGGCGCGCCCCGCACTAGTGTCCCGCCCGCCCGACCCGACCCGCCCATTAGGGCCCGCCCGGCCGACCCGATCCGTCCCGCCCATTAGGGCCCGCCCGCCCGACCCGACCCGCCCATTAGGGTTCACGCGTGCTCACTCGAGCGTGCCCCACACTGTAAAGAGTGTCCCGCCCGCCCGACCCGACCCGCCCACTACGGTCCGCCCGACCCGACCCGATCCGTCCCGCCCGTTAGGGTCCGCCCGCCCGACCCGACCCGCCCGTTAGGGTTCACGCGTGCTCACTCGAGCGCGCCCCACACTGTAGTACCCCGCCTGCTCGAAGGCGCCTCACGCTTTCGTGCCGTGCCCGCCCGCCCGGGCCTGCCCGTTAGGGCCCGCCCGACCCGACCCGACCCGTCGCTCCCGTTAAGGTCCGCCCGCCCAACCCGACCCGCCCATTGGAGCCCGCGCACATCCGCGACGAAAACCACATTTGGCCGAAGCCAACCCTGGCGAAAGCCAACCCTGGCGAAAACCAGCCTTGGCGAAAACAAGCCCGGAGAAACGAAGCCCAGCGAATCGAATCCCGGCGAAAGCCAACCCCGACGCAAAGCATCCGTGCCCTATCGGGGCAGGGCAGGAGTCGCCAAACCACCCGACGGGCTGGGGGGTGCCAGAGACAAGGACAGCCGTCCGTGTGTGTGCGCGCGCGTATGTGTGTGTGTGTGTGTGTGTGTGTGTGTTTGTGTGTGTGTGTGTTTGTGTGTGTGTGTGTGCGTGTTCTTGTGTGTGTGTCCGTGTTTGTGCTTTGTGTGTGTCTGTGTTTGTGCGTGTGTGTGTGTGTGTGTGCGTGTGTGTGTGTGTGTGCGTGAGTGTGTGTGTGTTTGTGTTTGTATGTGTGTTTGTGTTTGTGTGTGTGCGTGTGCGTGTGCGTGTGCGCGTGTGTGTGTGTGTGTGCGCGCGTGCGCGTGCGCGTGCGCGTGTGCGTGTGCGTGTGCGTGTGCGTGTGCGTGTGCGTGCGCGTGTGCGTGTGCGTGTGCGTGTGCGTGTGCTTGTGCGTGTGCGTGTGCGTGCGCGTGTGCGTGTGCGTGAACGTGTGCGTGTGCGTGTGCGTGTGTGTGTGTGTGCGTGTGTGTGTGTGTTTGCGTGTGTGTCCGTGTGTGTCTATGTGTGTCTGTGTGTGTGTGTCTGTGTGTGTGTCTGTGTGTATGTGTGTGTGTGTGTGTGTCTGTGTGTTTGTGTGTGTGAGTGTGTGTGTGTGTCCCGTCGTTTCGAATTGCGGGACGCCCCCAAACAAGATTATCAAGTTTGATCGGTATTTCCCCTATGTTTGTGGTCTCCCATCATCCCAGAACTCCTGACATGCCCCTTCAAATATCATACGACCATGGGCCAGTCGGTTTTGTGTGTGTTGCTGGCGAGGGGCGCGCTTGTGCGGTTGTTCATGTGACCCACGGCCGTCCCGCACAAAGCTATCAGAGCGAATGCCCCGCAGGCCGTGCCCATGACAGCATAAAAACCCTCCAAAGTCTCGACACGAACCACGAGGGATGTATTCCACATGAGCCAGCGACCGGAGACTGTTTCTGGCCTCCCAAGCCGTCAAACAACAACAGGAGGTCGACAGCTCCGGGGCCCCCGCATAGATAAAATCAAGCAAGCACGGCATCGGAGGTCTGGGAGCGAAAGCCCAGGTCAGCCGGCGCTTCCAAAGCGCATGCTCGTGGTGCTTCCGTCCTCCTGACCGGTTCGGCCCACTCGCCAGGAGGGAGCACGACTCTCAGTGACGCGCCGCCGTTGGGAGCCCGCCACCGCGTCGCTCCTTCACTTCCAGTCCGGCAGTACGAAGATGATGGGCCCCCGGATTCCTCACGGTGGCGTGTCGTGCATGTGACTGCCGCACCTCTCCCGATCAGGATCCCCTTCGCCCCAGAACCGCCCCAAGCCTCTTCCCTCCCCTCCGCCGTCAAGGGCGACTCTCAAGCTTACGGGCATGCATTCCCATCTCTACAGGTGGCCTCTCTCGATCGCGCAGCCTTGTAAGCTGTCGAGCTGCCCTTCGGCGGAACCCGCCGCAAGAGGCCCAGGCCCAGGAGGCGGGCGCAGGTTCCTTGGTGGATACGCTGCCCCCCCAGACGCTCCAGCCTCTACCGTCAAAGGGCAACCTCAGACCTGTCACGGAGCGTGGTCTGGCCAGGATCTCTGAGGGACTCCAGCCGTGCCGAGGAGGGCCCTGCCCCGTGGTCTTCGCGGCATGCCACCACCTGTGCCGGGGGGATGGGCCAGAGGCTTTGTGGAGGCCTGTCGGGCTCTCTCGGAAGGCCTCTTGGAGGCTTCGTCGGGGCTCCTTGGGGGTATTTCGGGTGCCTCTAGGGGGCCTCTAGGGGCCTTTTAGACGCCCCTTGGGGGGGAGTCTTCGGGAAGGTCCCTCGGGCCCCTCTTGTGGGATTGGGAGTCGTCCTCGGGCGTTGCTAAGACCATAAACAAAAGGGACGAGCTTCATTGTAATAAACACACCCGTTTGTTATTTGCTTGGGCCCCTTGGTCCAGCCCCGCGGGCCTCAAAGACGACCCAACAGGCACCAACGAGAGCTCCAGGGCGCCTCCGCGGGATCGTCGCGAGACTTGAAGCAAGTTTTGGCGTGCCCCCCCTTTGCCCCCCCAATTTCAATGTTCACTGGCGCGCGCGGCGCGGTCTGCGGATGCCGACGAAACATATGAAGGCATCTGTCTCGGCATCAACGCTGCCCATTAGGGGTCTGATGGCGCTGAAATGGCTCGGGATCCGCCTTCCCTTTCTGCCGGGTCGACGGCGGTGACAAAGACGACGACGACGGCGACGACGACGACGGCGGCGGCGGCGGCGACGGCGGCGGAGACTGCGGTGGCGGCGACGGCGATGCCCCCCAACGAGGTGCGCCGAGTTATATGCCCAGGGGCTGCCCCTTACCGTGGAGGCCTGCGAGCCGCAACCGAGGGCGATTTTCTCCGTCTTCGAGGCCTCCCCTGCAATGGCGCCGCCGATGTTCGAGGATCGAGGATCGACACCAGATCTCCTCTGATATGATTTTTCTCTGGCCTCCTGTGTTCGTTTCTCGTTTTCAATGGAGCACTGCGGTCGCGACTCCACTCCGCCCTCATCCTCCCCCCATTATCCTGCCCCCCGCCTCCGTGCGTCCCTTCCTCGCATTTGTCCTGCGTGCAACCAGGAAAGCTCAAAGCACCAACCAAGTCTGAGTGTGTCTGGCCTATACGAAACTTGGGCTGCGAACTGCGCAACGGTCGCCACTTTCGTGGACTCCTGGGGGTCCAGCAGAGTGGGTAGTCACGCAGACCCCCGCCAGACCTCGCGGCTCCCTAGGACGCTCCCAATTGCGCAGTTGACGCCACGTGCGTGGGTTCCGCAGAGGTCCAGCGGGGGCGGTGGTCAGGCAAACCCTCGCGGCTCCCTGGGAGGCTGCCACTTGCGCAGTCGTCGCCACGTTCGTGGGCTCCGCGGAGGTCCAGCGGAGGCGGTGGTCAGGCGAGACCTCGCGGCTCCATGGGAGGCTGCCAATTGTGCAGTTGTCGTCACGTTCGTGGGCTCCGCGGAGGTCCAGTGGAAGCGATGGTCAGGCGAGAACTCGCGGCCCCTTGGAAGGCTGCCAATTGCGCAGCTGTCGCCACGTTCGTGGGCTCCGGCAAGGTCCAGCGGAGGCGGTGGTCAGGCGAGACCTCGCTGCTCCCTGGGAGGCTGCCAATTGCGCAGCTGTCATGCGCTCCTGGGAAGTCCGGCGGTGGGAGTGGTCAGGCGAGACCTCGCGGCCCTCTGGGAGGCTGCCAATTGCGCAGTTGTCGCCACGTTCGTGGGCTCCAGGAAGGTCCAGCGGGGGAGGGTGGTCAGGCGAGATTTCGCTGCTCCCTGGGAGGCTGCCAATTGCGCAGCTGTCGTGCGCTGCTGGGAAGTCCGGCGGAGGGGGTGGTCAGGCGAGACCTCGCGGCTCCCTGGGAGGCTGCCAATTGCGTAACTGTCGCCACTTTCGACGGCTCCTGTGAGATCCAGCGGAGGAAGCAGTCAGGCGAGACCTCGCAGCTCCCTGGAAGGTTGCCAACCGCGCAACTGTTCACTTTCGGGTGCTCCTGGGAGGTCCAGCGGTGTAGATTGTAACGCAGATCCAGGCGAGACCTGAGTATCTCGCATTGTGCCCTTTTGTATGGAGTGTTCGCATACAGAGTCGACTCGCACGGAGAAGGGATTGGGTACATCTATGGTAATTTTCAATCTGGGCGTTTTCCCTTGGTTTCGCCTCCCAGCCCCCTTGGGCGCAATATTGTAGAGGGAAACAAGTAGTGGGCACTCCCTCGCTCCCCAAAACTCAAAGTTGGCACGCGCGGGGGAGACTGCGGTCGAAGTGGAACTCATCAGACCCACCGCCATCTTTGAACATTGAGGGGAGGGGGAGGCGTTGACCGATGAATGTGGAATCCGTGTTCGCTACTTTCTCCGAGGCCTGTACTGCCCGCGGGGAAGAGCTCTGGGGCCGCGGATTGAACGACACATAGACATAGGAGGACGCCTGGGACCCATGGCCTCCTCGACCAGCCTGGAAAGAAAGGCGGGAGGTCTCCGGCCATCCTCGGCCTCGGTGAGGCCCTCGCCGGGGCCCCAGGGACCGCCAGAAGACGGCCCTGGATTCAAACAGAAGCCCTGGGGAGGGGGGGGCGCCACGCTGTCGCTCAAGACGTCGGGGGCTGGGGCGAGGATCGGCGGGGGTCGAGGTTCTGCGGGCGTTCGGGGGCGCCTTTCGGGGTCGGCGTGGGGGTGGGCTTCCGGAGGCCTCCGGAGAGGCCCCCGGAAGCCCCACCCAGGAGGGGCACCTCCGCAGGTCTCCGAGGACCTGCGGCCTCCTCCTCCTCCTCCTCCTCCTCCTCCTCCTCCTCCTCCTCCTCCTCCTCCTCCTCCTCCTCCTCCTCCTCCTCCTCCTCCTCCTATCCTCCTCCTCCTCCTCCTCCTCCTCCTCCTCCTCCTCCTCCTCCTCCTCCTCCTCCTCCCTCTGGACTCGCTGGGAGGCCATTGCCGGCCCTGCGGGGGCCATTGCCGCCCCTGCGGGGGTCCCCGAGGACCCTGCGCGCAGGCAGGGAGCGCCATGGCCGGTGGGGCTGCCGCTGGAGGGTGGCAGCAGGGCGCCGACCCTCAGAGGGGGGAGAGGTACTCCAGATCTCGTAATAAAAGGGAGGGGGTCTGGACCCTCCACGACAAGCCATTTCAGACCTCCGCCGTGGGAGAACCCTCCAAAACATCGTCCCCAGACCCCCCAGGCCCTCCAAGATAGCCTGGAAGAGACCCCCCCCCGAAATGAGACCCCCCTCCCTTTCTTACGAAATCTGGAGTACCCATGCATGCCGCTACCCTTCCCTCGGTTTCGCCTTTTTGGGCCTCCTGGGAGGCCCTCGTCGCCACCGCCGGATTCGCTTCGAAGTTCCGGTCAGGACGCACCCCAGGAGAGGTCCGGGGAGTATCGCCATCGGTAACTTCTGGCTTCCCCAGACTCTGCACCGATCCGAGCTTGGGTCTCCCGGGTGCCCGTGAGAATGGCGCTCGAGCGTGTCGGGGGACTGGGGGTCCCAAATCGGGCCCAGGATCGAGATACGTCGCTCCAGAGCGTCCCAGAAGGCTTTCAGAACATTCCAGAACGCTCCGAGAAGGCTGCGGCACCCGACACGCTCCTCCAGAACCACCAGATCTCAGAGATCCCCCGATCCCGTTTCGTCCCGTTCCTGGCGTCGTTGTAGGCACGAGGCGCTCGGATGCTCGCCGCCTCTGCCTGCTGCCGCTGCCAGTCCCGCTCATCGTCGTGCTGCTGCTTCTGCGGCCCCCAGACGTCCTCGATTTCTCCTCGCCCGATGTTCTCCTCGTCCTGGCTTCGCCTTGGGGGTGGGGAGCATCCCCGGTGACGGCCAGTCTCGCGACTCGTGAGAAGACGCGCTCTGCCGGGGGACGGGCCCCGGCCACCCGTTAACCAGGGGCAGCGTCCACGGGCCGGGCCGGCATTGGGGGTGCTCACGCGCAGCCGAGGCCCTCAAGAGGGCGTGCGGTGCTCTGCGGGGCCTGTGCGGGAAGTCACGGGGGGCCCTAGCACCGCCCGGACACCGAAAGGAACAGTGTGCAGTGTCGTGGACTCCAGAGGCCGCTCAAGAAAATCCAGAATCTGGTGAGGACCCTGGGCGTTTTCTTGGAGCTTCTTTTCTTCGCAAGATGCGCCCGTTAGCTCTGGACCTGAACTACTGGTGAAGAAAGCGCGTCTACTGAAGTCCATGTTCTTAGCTGAGAAATTCTCATCTCTGAGCAGAAGTAGGGAGCAAAAAGGGAGACGGCAAGGAGGAGGAAGAGGCGGAGGAGGCAGTATGGTAAGCGAGGAGGGATCTGCGATCGACAGCCTCGCAGCACCAGGGACAGAGGGAGGGCGGGCAGGGCCAAGGAGGCACGAGGAGGAGGGGAGGAGGAGGAGGAGGAGGAGGGAGGAGGAGGAGGAGGGAGGAGGAGGAGAGGAGGAGCGAGGAGGAGGAGGAGGAGAGGAGGAGGGAGGAGGAGGAGGAGGAGGAGGGGAGGAGGGGAGGAGGGGGAGGAGGAGGAGGAGGAGGAGGAGGAGGAGGAGGAGGAGGAGGAGGAGGAGGAGGACCAGTGTAAATCCAAGAGTCATCAACGATGCTGGGATCAACCCTCCCTCCAATCCCTCTCTCTCTCTCTCTCTAATGACCCTTACAAAGGTTCTGCCTCGTTGGAAGACAACCGTTTGAAGACCATGAAGCATGCCAAAACATTCTTTCCGAGACGCCAGCGCCACGGATCAATCTGACAGTTGCGCTATGACGGTCCTGAGTCGCGCCAGAACGCCATTCCCGGAACTTCAACACCGCGAATACAAGTAACCTGTGCACCCTCATAATATTGAATGGTTCTGGTACGCTGATCAAAGGAAGCCGTGAGACTCTTGCACATGTTTAAAACAAACTAATGTGCGCGGTGCTAAGGCGAGAGCCACAATTTGAAAGCCACCCGCCCTCAATCCGTGAAGGTCTTGGAAAATTTTAGAACGAATGTGCGCGGCGCCAAAGCGAGAGCCTCATTTTGAGTACCACCCGCCCTCAATCCGTGAAGCTCTTGGAAATGTTAGTAGACGAACGTGCGCGGTGCTAAGGCGAGAGCCACATTTTGAAAATGAGCCGCCCTCAATCCGTGAAGCTCTTTCAAAGTTTGAAAACGAATGGGCGCTGCGCGAAGGCGAGAACAACATGTTGAAAACCACCTGTCCTCAATCCCTGAAGCTCTTGGAAATTTCAAAGACGAGTGCGCGCTTCGCAAAGGCGAGAGCCACATTTTGAAAACCAGTCGCCCTCACTCCGTGAAGCTCTTGCAAATTGCTATAACGGATGTGCGCGGCGCTGAGGCGAGAGCCACATGTTGAAAGCCACCCGCCCTCCATTTTTGACACTGTTGCCAAGGTCTAAGCATCAGATTCATAAGCGGTGGGGAAATCTCAGGCGAAATGCCCGGTCCGCCCTAAACATTGGCCTCGGGGTGCGACAGGGAGAAGTTATTCAGGAGGAAAAAGAATGGAGGAGGGATGGGAGGGCGGGGCCCACGTCGAGGATGAAGCCACGGAGTCGGAGGCGTGGGTTTGACATGCTGCTGGCCCTCTTCCCCTGCCGCCGCTCCTGTCTAGTGCGCTTCTCCGAGGTCATCTGCGTCACCATCTTTACCTTTGAGTACCTCGCTCGGGTTCTGACCGTCCACGCCGTCTCCGAGAGGCCACTCTGGGACACACTGCTGTACGCCAGGCGGTCGGGAGAACGAACGGGGAGGAGGAGGACGAGGACGAGGAGGAGGACGGGTTGCTGAGCCTGCTTCCAGGCGTCTAGCCTGTGCGCGCGGTGTTCTTCGCGCGCGAAGCCTGTATTGTGCCATGGCAGGCGACAGAGATCACGCCGTAGCCTCTCCGCGAAATGGCGCCATCTCTCCAGGACAGCTCCGAGATGAGCAGGCTCCCGCAATTGGTTTTGGGAGTGCCTCTGCGACGTGGTGCACCCTGGCAATGTGCCGATGGAGCGACCTGCCGGTCAGCCGCACGCCTCCACCGCAAGATCTCAGCGCCCTCTCGCCACCCAGACGTAACGTCACATGTTGTTCCAAACGTCGACCCCCAGAGGTCCCGACCCATTCCCCAGGACCAGTCTTTTCATCATGAGTCGTTCTCTGACGGTCCCTGGGCCCGGCGAGGATCCCCAGAGGCCGAAAATAGCGTGGTGATGGATATGCAGGCGTCCTTGTGTTTCATCCCCGACTCCCAGTCCATAGGCTTTGCGTATCTGGTCGATCTCGCCACTTCTTCCTCCTCCTCCTCCTCCTTCTCCTCCTTCTCCTCGTCCTCCTCCTCAAGATGACGTCCGCCGTGTTTTTTTTCCACGGCGCGAGGAGGCCCGCCCTCGATCCGACGAGCGCGGCGGGGGTGCGAGCGGTTTGTGCCGGGCGGCGCGCTCGAGGGGGCACGCGCCCGCGGGAGGGTCTGCTCTCGTTCCCCTGGGTTCCCCGCGCCCGTTCGTTTCGGGATTTAGGCGGGGGGAGATGATGATGGTGACGAGTTGATGATGATGATGATGATGATGATGATGGTGATGATGATGAGGATGGTGATGATGATGGTGATGTTGATGCTGATGAGGATGATGAGGATGAGGATGAGGATGAGGATGATGGCGATGGTGATGATGATGAGGATGGTGATGATGGTGATGTTGATGCTGATGAGGATGATGAGGATGAGGATGAGGATGAGGATGATGGCGATGGTGATGATGATGAGGATGGTGATGAGGATCATGATGAGGATGAGGATGATGATGATGATGATGGTGATGATGATGATGATGATGATGATTATGATGCCGATGGTGACACTTATGATGATGCGGTTGCTGATTAAGAATGAGGAGAAGGTGGAAGATCATAATGCCGAGGATGGCAGTGATGATGACTACGATGATGATGCTGCTGGTGATGATGAACGTGGTGGTGGTAAAGTTGGGTGTGATGATGATGTGGATGATGATGATGATGACGATGATGATGATGATGACGATGATGATGATGATGATGATGATGAGGTTGAGGATGAGGATGGTGATAATGTTGGTGATGATGATGGTACTGATGATGACGGTGGTGATGATGCTGACGACGATGATGATGGTGGTGGTGATTGTGATGATGATGATGATGATGGTGGTGGTGAATTTGCTTTTGAATGGCCACGATCATGTTAATGCTTATGATGAAGATGGAAACCAGCATTCAGTGGATGCTGATGCCAGCGCTGATGCTGATGTTGATGCTGATGGTGATGATGACCAACATGATGATGATGATGATGATGATGATGATGCTGGTGATGACGATGGTACTGATGATGATCATGATGATGTTGATGATGATGGTGATGATGAGTATGGTGCTGACGTTGACGGTTATGCTGGCAACACCGATGGTGAGAATGATGACCATGATGTTTATGATGATGATGATGCTGACGACGATTATGATGATGATGCTGATGACGATGGTGATGATGATGCCGACGATGATCATGATGGTAATGGTGATGGTGATGCTGACGGGGATGCTGATGGTGATGCTAATGCCGATGCTGATGTTGATGCTGGTTCTGCTGTTGCTGATGCTGATGGTTGTGCTCATTGTGATGCTCATCCTGGAGCTGATGCTGTTGCTAATGCTGATGCTGCTGAATGTGATGCTGATGCTGATGATGACGATGGTGATGATGGTGATGATCATGATGATGATGAAGATGATGCTGACGATGCTGATGCTGATGATGATGACGATGAAGGTGATGCTGACGGTGATGCTGATGCTGATGCTGAGTATGTTAGTGATGTTGGTGCTGCTGATGCTGATGCTGACGCTGGTGCTCATTATGATGCTGATGCTGGTGCTGATGCTGATGCTGATGCTGCTGATGGTGAATATGATGATGATCATGACGATGGTGATGATGGTGATGATGATGATGATGATGATGAACATCATCATCATCATCATCATCAGCAGCAGCAGCATCATCATCATCATCATCATGAGCTTGATGACGATGGTGATCTAGTGGGCGGCTGGTGAAGGGCACATCGCGTCCGCTCCGATCTCATGACTTCCTTCGGGAAGAACTTCTCGGCCAGGCGCACTACTGCGCCGCGGTGGCCTAACCTGCCTCAGCGGCGCGTAGGTAGTGGGCCAGGGTGAGGGGCGCACTCTGAGAAGGCTGGGTGCTTCTCGGGAGGGGCCGGGGCCTTCTGGGAAGGCCTCATCCGTGGCAGGGGTCCGGAGGACCGAAATGGGCGCAGAAAGAATGGGCACGACGATGAGCAGCAGTGCCTGTCCAAGTTGAACAGGATTCGCCGTCGGCATCGCTGCGGAAGTTGCCCATTTGAGACAGAAGGCAGCCTGCCCAACAGCGGCCGCTGTCGGTTCTGGTCAACGTTTGCCGTTGGGCATCGTACTTGGCCACTTTTCGGTACCCATTTCCGGCGTCCACGAGGGGGATGTGTGGGAAATTTCTTGCCTTGTGTTGTATCTGATGTCCTTCGGCCCATCCCGCCACTGTGCCTGGGTAAGGGAGTCCTATTTAGTTTCTTATCCTCCGCTTACTTATATGCTTAAATTCAGCAGGTTTGCTGACCTAATTTCATGTCTTGGTAGGAGTGCGCTGGGCACTAAACAGCAAGGCCATGCCCAGCGACAAGGCAACAAGGTTGTGGGTCAGGCCTCTTGAATGTTGGTTGGGATGTGGTGGGGCGCTTCGCGGGGGCCTCTTGGAGGCGAGCTGAAGCCCCTTTGGTGGCCGTTTTAGGGCCTCTTGGGCGTCGCGTCGTGGGGGCCTCTATGGGGCCTCTTGGGGCTTCTCGGGGTCTCGTGGGGCCTCTTGTAGCGAGGCTCCACGAGCTCCCAAGAGCGAGGGGTGACGTAACAAGCTCTCAACGCCAAGGCTCCCAGTACGAACGGTGGTGTGAGTAATTTCGGTTTCTGTTTCTGCAGCGCTCTTTCCGTTTCTGTGCCGGGCCAGGTCTAGGGGCGGAAGGCTTGGATTGTCATTGTTGGTTCTGGCTCCCCCTCTGGGGCCCCACTTGGGGCTGTCTTGGGGCTCTCTTGGGCCGTCTCGGGCGCCTCTTGGGCTGTCTTGGGGCCGTCTTGGGCCGTTTTGTGGCCCGCTTGGGGGCCTGTTGGGCCGCCTTAGGGGCCTCCTGTGCCGTCTTGAACGCCGTGAGGCCGAAACGTTATATATATATATATATACATACATACACGTTCTCCTAAACATTGTTTTGACGACCTTTTACCTCTTGTGGCCCTCTTGGGAGGCCTCTTGGGCCTCTCTTTGGGCGGCTTCGGCGCCTCTTCGGCCGTCTTGTGGCCAGCATGGGCGGCTTGGACCGATCGCTGAGTCATTCGAGGCCCTCTTGGACCCTCTTGGGAGCCTCTTGGGACCCTGTTGGCCCGTCGTGTGGCTCTCACGGCTCCGAACCATTCATTCGTGAAGACGCCCGAATCCGCGGTAGGCACGCAGGAAGCCCCAGTAGATTTGTGAATTTGGAGTCCGGGCCCTTTAAGAATAATCAGGATTGGGAATTGGGGCTTAAGGGAGTAGGCCAATGACCTGGGGACACTCCAACTCGTGCCTCAGGGCACGGTGGCGGATATTCGGGGGACCTCGTCCGTCACATCGCGCCAGCCATCCGTGTCGAATCCGCGTCGGATCCGCGCCGGATCCAGGTCGACCGCGTCGAATCCGTGTCGAATCCGCGTCGAATTCGCGACGCGTCAGCGCCGAGCACCCGTCGGAGATCAAGAAAAGGCCGCCGCTACCTATGGGACAGGAGAGGTCCCCCGACGGTGCAACGCAACAGGGGGGCGCCTGGGAAGTCCCCAGACTGCTCGGGCGCCCCCTTCCCCTCGCCCTGCTGTCCTGCTGATCACCGCCGGCTTCTCCATCCCGCCTCCTCATCCTGGGACGCTTGACGCCTGGAAAAAAATAACATGCAGTCGACTCCCAGAGTAAGGATGAGCGACTTCCCAGGGGTGCGTACCCTTGCATCCTTGCCTCCTCGGTCGTCTCCGGCCCATCCTCAACCACTTTCGAGGGCCACGCCCCGGTCGAACAGCTTCGCACTGGCGTCCAAGGCCTCTTGCATCCTTGTCGCGCATCCTTACCATCAGTTTTCACTTTGACTGTTCGGCGTTTTGCTCGTGGCATTCGGCCCCCAGGGGGCGTTCTCAGACCCTGGCACCGTCAAAGAGCGGCCCCAGAAGAAGCAACAGTGCCCCCCTGTGGGGGAGTGGCCAACAGGCGCGGGCCCCGCGCCCGGGAAAGAAGAAAACAAGAACATCGGACTCCCCCTCCTCCAGACCTGAGGCGGGCCCCCCCGTATGCGATGGACGGCCCCAGGGGCTCCACGGTGCAGAGAGTGTCTTTCCCCTGGGCGACAGGGTAGGCATTTCAGTGCGCCGCCGTCCGAGAGCGGACTCGGGTCCTGTCTTGGCATGCGCTCACGCGGGCCGCCCACGCAACCAACAGAACCCGCCCTCCTGCTCCTCCTCCTCCTCCTCCTCCTCCTCCTCCTCCTCCTCTTCCTCCTCCTCCTCCTCCTCCTCCTCCTCCTCCTCCTCCTCCTCCTCCTCGGCCCCTGGCACCAGACCCGAGCTCGAGACCGACCGCTGCCTGCCGGCGCTGGGCGCGTTCTGGCCTGGGGTCCTGGGCCCGCCACGGGAG